TTCTTTCCTTCACCAGAATAAATTTGTAAATTTCCATTATAGCCACAACCGTTAAAGCCTCAAATCTTACAAAGTAGGCCATACTTTGTAAGTTTCCCAGGATTATATGTTCGCATACGAAGCCTTCCCTTCCAAGGAATCACACATTCGTCCAAAGACAGTTCTTGGTTTGGCTTATAAACTGTCTGAAATTTCTGAACGAAAAAGTTCAATAAGGGCTGAATTTTGTTGATTGTGGTTGCAGTTCATTATCATTGAAATGCAAACACCACCAAATTTGCTCAAATCTCTTACGGCTCATTAGTTTGCCGAAAATTGGAATTTCTAAAAATGGATCTGTTGACCAATACTCTTTGAGATTATCCCTCCTTGTTTGGTCCATTAGAAAGATAATTGCAAAAAATTTTCTAATTTCTGCTGAAGTGACATCCACCCACTTCAATGCCTTATAACTTTTGTTGTAAAGTTCAGGGTGTTGGAGATAGTATCTGTTAGTTTCCTGACATAGCATGTCAAAGACACTATCTCCAAAAAACAGTTCTGCTACTTCAGACACTTGCGTTGGGTCCGATAGAATTTGCTTCACCCCTGGATTTCCAGCAAACTGTCCCAGAGCAGGTGTTTTGTCTACTTTTCCCCATGTGGCTGTCCCCGCAATGTTGCTACCCGCATATTCGTCAGAGCTGCGGTCACTTTCGCTTTCACTGTCTGTGGTCACAATTTTTTGTTCGCCCCTGCCACACTCACTATCAAATTGTGAGTCGCTATCGCTAGCAGACTCACAAGGGATGTCAGATAGCTCATCGGAGAAGAAGTCAGATATTTCTTGTTCTACAAGAAATCGCTTGGGTGTCAACCGCTTTGGTCTTTGATCCATATTGAACTACTGACTGACAGCTTGCTACGTAAAGCTTGAAGAAATTAAGGCATTTATTTTCCTTTGCAGGGACATAGAGTTACAGCAAGGTCTAGTAACTGATTGGTCAGCAGACATTCCAGAGCCTTATAACACAGCTGCAAGTGGCTACGTGCTAGCTAGGTGGAGCCAGAAAGATGTATAGTGTGTTGCAACTTATCGTGTTTTAAAAACCTGTTAACATGCGAACGTTCCGCCATGTTTAAAAGCGAAAAAGCTTTTAAAGGGTGCGCTGTCCGCAAAGTGTTAATATTGTCCACCCACCTACACCTTGGTCTTCCCAGTGGTCTCTTTCCTTCTGGCTTTCCCACCGATATCCTATATGCGTTCCTTTTCTCCCTCATTCATACTACATGCTCTGCCCACCTCATCCTCCTCGACTAGATCATTCTAATTATACTTGGAGAAGGGTACAAGTTATGCAGCTCCTCATTATGCAATTTTCTCCTACCTCCTGTCACTTTATCCCTCTTCAGTCCAAATATTCTCCTCAACACCCTGTTCTCAAACACTGTCAAGTCTATGTTCCTCCCTTAATGTCAGAGACAAAGTCTCACACCCATACAGAACCACAGGCAAAATTATAGTTTTGTATAATCTAATTTTTATGTTTTTGGACAGCAGACGAGAAGACAAAAGGTTCTGGACTGAACGGTAGCAAGCACTACCCAAGTTCAGTCTCCTCTTAATTTCGTCCTGAATCAGGTTTTGATTTGTTATTGTTGTTCTTAACTGTTCCTGAACTGTGCCACATTTTCGAAACATCTGTATTCTATCGTTATGTCATGATTTTTCCCTGCATTTTCTTGATGAGATAGAAACATATACTTAGTTTTCTCTGTGTTTACTTCTAGACCAATCTCCTTACTTGAGTCAGTTAAAGTTTGTGTGTTTTTCTTTATGCTATCTATATTATCACCCAGTACATTCACATCATCGGCATATACCAATATCTGATGCGTTCCATTTAATTTCAGTCCAACCTGGTTTTCCTGGACCTTCCTAATGGCATATTCTGAAGCAAAGTTGAAAGGGAGTCTCGATAAAGCATCTCCTTGTCTTAGACCATTCTGGATAGGAAATTTATCAGCCAAATGTTTACCTATACAGACTTTACTTTACGTTTTGTTTAAGCACATTTTAATCAGCTTAACTAGTTTCATGGGTATCCCAAACTCTATCAGAATATTATACAATACTTCCTTCCTAACTGAATCATAGGCTTTCTTGAAGTCCATGAATAGCTGATGTACTGTCTCATTGAGTTACAATTTTTTCTTCAATATCTGACAAATACAAAAGATCTGATCTGTAGTTGATCTGTTACGTTGAAACACACACTGATGATCCCCAATAATTTCATCTGTATATGGACTTAACCTTGAGAGAAGAATATTGGATAAAATTTTGTATGAAGTTGATAGCAGTTATATCCCTGATAATTACTACAGTCAGTTTTATCACCCTTCTTGTGAACTGGTACAATAATAGATTCCTTCCACTGGTGAGGCAATTCTTATTTATGCCAAATAGAAGTAATTAGCTTATGGATCTTAGAACATAATATTTCATGTCCTGCTTGAACAAGTTCTGCCAGAATTTGATAACTACCTCGTGATTTATACATTTTCACTTTTGCAACAGCAATTTCAACCTCAGCTGTGTGCCTTTCTATCTGCCTAACATCACTGACCCTATGTACATTCAATAACTGAGAGATGTAGTTGTTCCACCTATTCACAATGTGAGAATCTGCAAGCAGTTCACCATTCTCATCCTTCACTTAGTAACATCTAGGTTGGTAACCTCTCTTAAAGTCATTTATTCCTCTATACAGGTCTCTAATGTTCATGTTCTTACTGTTCATTGCAAGTTCATAAATGTTGTCTTTCAGAGATTTCCTCTTTTTAATCCTGAATTGCCTGCTGATTTCACATCTTATATTGTTCAGATTATCCCTGGTTATTTCGCTTGGACCCTGTAACCATTGTGATTTGACTTGTTTTCTTTGGTCTAGTAATTTTGAGCATCCTTCATCTATCCATGGCTTATGCTTCTTCAGTTCATAATAACCCAGACTCTCCTTGTCAGAAATTTTTATATTCTCTCTAATAGTTTCCCAAGCTTTATTAACATCCACCTCAGTGTGCTCACAGAATCATGGAATGGAAAAGTTAATGTGTCTAGAATCAAATATTTGAAGGCAGTGTTACAATTCCATAGACTTAAAATCTGCTTTTTGCACTAAAGTAAGCCTCTTTGTATTTCAGTTGTCTGCCTATGTTCTCCATACACTTCCTGTTCATTGGCCAAATGCTGTACTTGAATTATTGGCAACTTTGCAGCCGTCCAACTTACCCAACATCCCTCCTGAAAGAACTGCATGGATTCTTCTTGAAATACTAACAGTTCTTCCTGAAGAGGTAAGAGCAGTTTATATTCTTAGGATGAAACTTTTACATTGATGGAAGGCATTTTGTTTCATTGAAGCTGATTAGAGTTAGCTGTACCATTCGTTATAAATATAAAATTAATATTAATGAGTTTGTTGTATTTAGGTTGAACAGGGTAGTGCTTCCTTCTTCCAAATATTGCTATAAATTACTGACTGGAATTATAGAAAATGAATCATGCCTTACTGCTATGATTTTTAATCAGTTGGGTCTTAAAGCAGTTACTCTTCATTGAAAGCTTTAAAAAGACGTCAAGTTACTTCTTAAAGCATCAATAATATGGGAAACCTTAAAATGTTGGCTATTAGTTGAAATGTGATTGAAAAATTCCAGTATAAGGTATGAGATTTATTTCTCAATCTTTTATTTATAAATTGAAATATGGAGCAGTCTGTTTCATATCACATTTCATCAATCATAAGTTGAAATTTCAGTGAACATCTGGCAAGGATAGCACTGTTATCATGTAACATTTGAGGCATGTTTGGTTATGGGGATTCAGATTTTTCTCTCATGGGGTGTGACTGAGTCCACCTGGTACTGCCGCCACTTCTGGCCTATCATACTAGCCCCAGATGATAGATGATGATTGTGGAGCAATTGGTGGAATGCAAATTGGCAGGGGAACCTGAAGTACTCGGAGAAAACCCGCCCCAGTTCTGCTTTGTCCATCCACATGACCTGACCTGGGCTCAAACCCGGGCCACCACGGTGGGGAGCCAGCAACTAACTACCTGAGCTGTGGCACAGCCTAAAGCCATTCAGATTCGTACTATGTTGTCAAGTTGAGACATATAGACTTGAAAGGATTCTGACGATGGTGTATACTGTACTTCTTCTGGCTTATTTTGGACTTCATCCATCGTCTGGTGCGTAAAAGACGAAAGACCACGACGTTTCGGAGACTGGATCTGTCTCCGTCTTCAGGTGAGTAGGGAAGGATAAAACCTACTCAGGTGGACGGAGACAGATCCAGTCTCCGAAACATCGTGGTCTTTTGTCTTTTACACACCAGACGATGGATGAAGTCCAAAATAAGCCAGAAGAAGTACAAGTTGAGACATGTCTGAACACCCACAATGAAGGGAAAATGTAAATATCAGATGTGCTCAGACAAATTTCCATTTATTTGAGCAATGTTTTTAGTCAAATGGAGAGGAGTTCCTGAATGTGCAGGTCTTATCTCCCTATGTCTAGCCCTTGCAGTTTGTGTTTGTCTAGTTTACTTTTGCCATACATTAATGTTTAATTTTTCCCAGTACAGTCATATGTTTGTTTCAAGTTTTTGCATAAGATACTTATAATACAGATTAAAAATTGTCTCTGATTTGTAGACATATATAGTTTCAGAAAGGCTTTAGTTCAAGTTTCATGTTTCAAGTCTCATTATTCAGAATTCTATAACGTTTCATTTATAACTCTTTGTCTTGTGATGAAGTATTGGAAATACTAAAAGGAAATTAGGTCACAAAACTCACCCCAGAATTCACAGAACAAAGAAGTCAGTATAACCTTAATTGTATTTGAGCTCATGAAAGAAAAGTGTTGTTCACAAAACATTATCACTTCCTCTTGTGGAAGAATAGTGGCCTCCAGTGGCAGAATATTCGTATCAGCTATATGAAAATTGGGCACTTAGCTCAAAAGTTCAAAGGTGGAACATACAGAAATCGACAAGTACAGTTGCACACATAGACATCATGATAATCTCATAAGCATTGTTTTTCTATCCTTAAGATAGGGAAGAGATGTCATCCCTAGGCGAATGAATAAGTACCTCAGGCATTTAGAGGAAAATGAATATTTGTGTGTTGAATCATGTTGCCTGTCATTTTCATAAAACTTTATATTTCTACAGCAATTTAAGGTTAATTTAAATTGTTTTATTTTTTCTCATATTGAGTGAGTGATTTAGAATGATAAGAATTTTTTCTTATATTCCTGTAAAACCTGATTAATTTAAGCAGGATTTTAGGTTCTCATGGTGGTGACTGAGGATTATTGTGTTCAGGGATGTGATGCCATGTATTTTGGTAGAATGTTACCAGACTACATGTCATAAAATCCCAGCAGACAGTAATCTTCAGAATTACTTTAAACTTCTAGTTCCAGAGTTCACATCTTGCTCATGCCCAGAAAGGTCTTGTAAGAAACGAACTTCAGAAAAACGTTCCTCAGGGTAAGTTTACATATTTTTAGTTCATAACTGCTCATGATTTCGGCAGTGTGCTGAACTCAGAACTCTTAAAGTGGAATAGAGGGTCTCTATAGGTAACTTTCACCTTACCCTCCAACTTAATTGTATGATTTTGAAATGATATATAATATCATTGCAAGTGAAAGGTTAAATATTTCCATATTATTTTATTTGGTCTATCTACAGAAATTATAGTGTTCTTGTCTCCGCTTTTGACAGAAATGTAATGCAGAAATCTAAGTACGTCATTCCAGTACATTTCTTGAAGTATCAGCATTCAGTTTGTAGAATAAATTCTGATTGATATTTTTATTGATGGAAATTAAATTTGATTGGAACAGTTGGATATCCTCAGCTTCATACAGAAGAACTCCAACTTTCGATTTCCAAGTTTTTGTAGTTCATGTAGCATCACAGAAATGACAGTAGCATTCAGCCAGCAACTATGAACTTAAAATATTATATTTTATATTTTAGCATCCCGTTGTATTGAGGTATCATCCTTTTTGTTAGAGTATCCATCAACAATATAACAATATAAAAGATGTAAGATTTGAGGCTTTCATGGCGGTGACTATGAAGAAAGCAGTCTTCTGGGATTTGGCACATATACACGGTGCCAAATCCCAGAAGACTGCTTTCTTCAATATAAAAGATGTTAAGAACATGTCATTCACTTAAATGTATTTCGATTGTTAAAATCATTAAAATGTCCATAGGACACTACAGGTATAAAACTTTATACCTTAAAGTGATTACAAAATTTTTCGGACTGTCTTAATTTTACATGTATTTTTCACCACATGTTTCGGCCTCATATGGGCCATCATCAGATGATTATATTCTCTGGGGAGACCACTGCACTGAACTTGTTCACCGTGCTCCATTAGTGCACATCAATGTTTTTTTTTTCATACTAGTTGTACTTTTGCAGCTATTTTGCGGCCACTAGTAGTTTTATTGTTGTTTTCTTATGCTAGTGTGCCTGTTGTGGTGTTCTGGTATACTGCAAATACTAAAGCTTCCTATGTATTAATTAATGAAATATTAGAAGCATTAAATAAGCAAAAAATCGTAGGTGGTATTTTTGTGACTTAAAAAAGGCTTTTGATAGTGTTAATCATGGGATTTTATTAATCCAACTTCAATTTTATGGAATAGATGGTAAATTTCATGATTTAATTACATCCTATTTATCTGATAGATATCAGAGCGTTTTAATAACAAGCACTGACTTGAGTTTTGCTGGTACCTCTAGTTGGGATATTGTAAGGCATGGTGTCCCACAGGGGTCCATTCTTGGTCCACTTCTTCTTCTCTTTTATACAAATGATCTACATAAAATTTTTAATAACTCAGTCAAATCAGTTTTATTTGCAGATGATACAAGTTTAGCTACTATTAGTTACAATAATATACAGTATAGAAACGATATTGATATTTCCTTTGCTTATCTTAATGATTGGTTTAATTCAAACTTATTAACTCTAAATTTTAACAAAGCTAAAACTGTTCAATTTATGGCAAAGCCAAGTCCTAATAGTGTAACTTCTGTTAATTATCATAGTGTGATTTTAAGCAGTACAAATGTGAAATCTTTGGGATTAGCTATTGAAAGCTCATATATCCCAACTCATGCCTAAATTGTGCAAGGCTTGTTACTCAATGAGGATGATCAAGCCCATTATGCCCACAGGGACATTAAAAATGGTATATCACTCTTATTTCCATTCACTTTTGTCCTATGGAATTATTTTTTGGGACAATTCTTCTTATAGTATGCACATTTTCAGAATTCAAAAGAGAATAATTAGAACCATGAGTGGGTTGAGATCTAGGGACCCTTGTAGAGATGCATTTAGGGATTGGGGGATTTTGCCATTGCAGTCCCAATATATATTTTCTTCATTGATGTTTGTTGCGAATAATATGGGTTAATACTAGGCGTAATTTTGATCTTTATTGCCCTCAGGCAAATTTGACAACTTGCCATAGAGAACCTTATTATTTTGGTATTACTTACTTGCTTACTTACTCATGGAGCTGAGCCCTTCTGGAGGAGCCACCAATTCTGCAGCTACTCAAGAATTTCCCAGCATTTTATGGAATCTGAAGGTTCATTACCGTGTTCACAAGAGCCCTCCACTGGTCCCTATCCTGAG